TGTTTAAAAAATAATAGTGAGGAATTCATTTGCACAACTGCATACAAAAATAAGCCCAACTTTACAAAGACACTAGTTTGAACTACCAAGTCATAAAACACTGAACTTAAACAATCCAGAGGGTTTTAGCACCTCTAGCCTGACTAAAATTACTTATTACAAATGCAGCATTACCTGTAAATACAAATACTTGACTAAAACTCTCTCTAAAGACTGCAACAGGACTGTGCTTTATATAAAGTCACTGGTGAATTTTTAACCCTTTACGCGCCACTGAAAATGATAATTTTTCACTAGTTGTTGGACAAAAACGAAAAGGTATTGGATCTTGATATTTGACCAGGATAGTTTCTGTATGTTTTTCTGCTTATAGAGTAACTAAAAATTCAGTTTTGAGAAATTTCATTTTTTTTGTTGGAAACCCTACCATAGCTCCACCTGTGATTCACTCAAATCTTCCTCTTCTGAGGGAAGAGGTTCGTCAGATCATTCCTCTCCTCCTCCTGCTATTCTGAGGTGGAAGCATCTTTGTATGGAGGTACAGAGGCAGGCCTATCAATCATGCATGATGATATTCCACGTGATACCATGAGTTTGGAGTATACGAAAATCTAAATATAGATCTAGTACGGACCTAGAGCAATCAATGGAAGAGTCCGGAAGAGTCTTGAGAAGATTTGAACGTTAGGAAGAGTTCTTCTTTATCATCAGTGGATCAAGATGAAAGAAAGCTACTTGCTGGCTCGTACTGGCTAGTGGACGTATCTTTGTACAGAGTTATTAACTACTAGTAATAAGTGATAATACATCCTCATTCATTGTGTATTGTATAATGTGTGTACATTGTTAGATATTCATGTACATGTAGGTTGGGAGTCTCAGTTACTTGAAATGGGTTTCCTTGCAATGTTCTTATCTCCAGTTTTGAGTTTGAGCCAGTTTCCACGTCACACACCCACAAGCTGGACCAATGTCTCAGGAAATCGCTGGATGATATTCTGCATTATGATTGGAGCTGTAAGTGAGAGAAAGGATGTGATTGAATATTGGAACCTTCTTTAGGGTTTGATAAAGATGAGAGGTGATAGCTGTTGGAGGGACTTGACTTGTATGAACTATCATTATGAGGTTTGTACATTGTATATTGTATAGTGTGTGATGCTTTAATGTGGTGGAGTTTCAGTTTAACAATGAAATCTAACGGCAACTTATGCTGGTTATAAATCAATCTCAGATCACAAATGTCAGTGCTGTATGGGCATCCATGCTTTTTAAGAAAATGGCTCTGAAATCACCCTCAATTTTTATTACATTTTTTGATACATATTGATGTCCTTATGCTGTGTAGAAAGTTTGAAGTGATTCCGACTGAAAATTTTTGAGTTATGGCCATTAAAAAAATCTGCTAATTTTCAAAAATTACCCTGTACTATAGCCCATAGTTTTTCAAAAAATGGCTTCAAAATCACCCCCCCCCCCCCATTTTTATTACATTTTTTGATACATATTGATGTCCTTATGCTGTGTAGAAAGTTTGAGGTGATTCCCACTGAAAATTTTTGAGTTATGGCCATTTTAAAAAATCTGCTAATTTTCAAAAATTTCCCTGTACTATTGCCCATAGTTTTAAAAATGGCTTCAAAATCACCCTCCCCCCCCCAAATTTTTATTACATTTTTTGATACATATTGATGTCCTTATGCTGTGTAGAAAGTTTGAAGTGATTCCAACTAAAAATTTTTGAGTTATGGCCATTTTAAAAAATTGGCCATTTTAAAAAATTACCCTGTACTATAGCCCATTTAAATCGGGTCATCACCCTCAAATCTCATTGAAAAAGATACGGTAACTTACACAAAGGAGCATAATAATAATACATTAGCCTAATAATAAAATAACAGAAGAACTAAACGCATAGTACAATAGTAATAATAATAATATGATAATAATAATAATAGTGGGTATATGATATAGTTTAAATAGAAAGCCTTGCATCAGAGATGATACGAGACATGTCCTCCAGACAGGGCTGGGATGGTGGGCTGGAATATGAGGAACGAGAACCTCTCAAGCCCATGGTTTTTTCCAAAAAATGGCTCCAAAATCACCCAAAATTTTTATTACACTTTTTGATACATATTGATATCCTTATGCTGTGTAGAAAGTTTGAAGTGATTCCGCCTAAAAAATTTTGAGTTATGGCCGTTTTTAAAAATCAGCCAATTTTCGAAAATTACCCTGTACTATAGCCCATGGTTTCTTCCAAAAATTGGTTCCAAAATCATTCCCAATTTTTATTACTTTTTTGATACATATTGATGTCCTTATGCTGTGTAGAAAGTTTGAGGTGATTCCGACTGAAAATTTTTGAGTTATGGCCATTAAAAAAATCTGCTAATTTTCAAAAATTTCCCTGTACTATTGCCCATAGTTTTAAAAATGGCTTCAAAATCACCCCCCCCCC